ATCTATCTATCTATCTATATATTATATATATATATATATATATATATATATATACATATATATATATATATATATATACATATACATATATATATATATACATTTCTGAGAGTTACCAGTAGGGTCACACTTTTTGGGAGTTCGCCTCGACTGGCATGTAAGCCAAGGCACACGGCACATAAACTAGAAAGACACATTGATATGTCAATGTTAATAGAGAGGGCAACTTGAGCTAAATCAGGTGAACATTGATAAATATAGCACACACACACACACACAAATCTAATTACGCACCTACTGATCTAAAATGGCATCTTTTGCATGAATAACCCCAGCGAACACGCGCGACAACAACAACAAAAAAAAAACGCACCATTATATTCGATTATGCAGGTGGAATTATAAATATAGGACGCTTGGCTGAGATGTAACTCTGAGGACGTGCAACGAAACCCAGAAGAGATACAGTCCATGTAGAGGTAGTCCCACTTAACTGTTGATCAAATACGTCACGTCATTTAAAAAAAAAAAAAATGACAGTAGGGATATGAGGTCACAGTGCGCAAGGTGTTGTGGGGGGGGGGACGGTGGAGGACGAAACAATTAAAGCTCATTCGTAAGACCCAGGGCCAGATTTACCACGCCCCTCCCCAAACTAAAAGTGGATTTATAATTTCCAATTAAATATTGTAAAACTTTATTTTTTAAAACAAAAGCGCTTGATACAATCTTTGAAGCAAATATTTAATTGAAATGTACACGACCATACTGATTATGAAATGTCATAACTTTATTAATTCATATTTACGACCAAAAAAAATACAACGACAAAGTTCTTTCGACTGTCTTCAAGTAGCCTAAAATACTTAATAGAATTCCTTTCTTCGCACCTATATCCACAAAATAGTTTTAATTGATTCATTGACGTCCACAAATCTTGTTAAATCTGCTTCAGTAACTTGGCAAACTCTCCTGTCAACAATTCCTTCTACGCCCCTCTGGGTAAACTGAACAGGATATTAAAAAAAAAGAATAACGTAATATTTTCCTCCGCACCTACTACGCGTACAGACGTAGATGACTAAGCGATATGAGCGTAATGAATCACTATGGTAACGCCAAATCTGAAAATGTTCTTCAACACGTTGTTAGGCTGAGTGTGCGTGAACACTGGGAGAGAAACAGAAAATGATTTTTTTTTTAAATTTCGTATGACTGAGTAAGATAACGGAAGCTGTAGAGATTGGGTTGGGGGGGGGGCACGTAATTCCACGGTGAAATTTATATCATTTATATAGCGCAAACGTATTCCTTAATCTAAAAAAAAAATTGTGGCGTTTTCAAAAATAATATTTAATCATATGTAAAACTTCTGGTTGCTATTTGTTCTGTGTAAACGCCCCCCCCCCCAAACCAAATTACAGCTGCACTCTTAGTCATGGCCTAGGTTGGCCTTACGGGAGATCCGGTCCCGGTGGAACCAGCATCCTGCAGCATCGACACTGTTAGGGCAGTGTGATGACACCGATCATATCCGGAAATTCGATCGAAAGAAATTTCAACGACGGTAAATTCACCGACGGTAATTTGATCGAACGAAAATTTGGTTGAATCTATAAAAAAAAAGTTTTAAACGTTAAAATTTTCCTTCAAATTTCTTTTTGAACGCAATATTTTGTTAACTATATAGTATACCGATACCAATACGGATGTAAATGTATTACAATGCTTACCGTTGTAACATGTTACATGCTGTATCAAAAGTAATACAATGTGCAGACTATTTCGGTGGGAAAAAAAAAACAACAACAAAAGTGGAAGAAAAAAAATGAAAAAAAAAAAAAAATAAAAAAAAACTTGCAAAAGTTTTCAATCGATTTTGGCAGAATGTATTTTCGGACTGAAACTTTATAACTAGACGAATTCACTGGATAAAGTTGTTCAGAGAGTAATACAACTCAAGTTTGCCTGTCTCTGCATTTTTGCTGTTGAAGGCTTCTTTCCTTATTTGAAACGTCCACTGTCGACTACGGGAGTTCTCTAATTTTTTTGTGTGCGCACTTGATATTCTGTTTGATTAAGCGCAGTTTGGTTTTGAGAGACAAATTAGTTACTGAACGCTCTTCCTCCCTTCTTACTTGGTGACGTACTTGTATGGTTAGTATCAGGTTTTTCTACTCTGTTTTGTGACGTACGTGTTGATTAGCCGGCAGTCTTGCAAGGAACTTTGTGTTAGCGGGCTTTGCTATACATGTGTTTGTGGAATATCCAGTTTGTGAATATAACTAGATATTTAAGTAGCCTTTATTATGAAAAAGTTATTGTGTTGATTCAGTGCTAGTACGACGTAGCACAACGTGTAAAAGTACTGGATGAATTAAATTTACCGGACAAAGATTTTGACACCCCCCTATCTATATCTCCCATCCCCACGTTTTTCCTCCATCACGTGTATGTTTCTTACTGCATAAATATCAGAAGATTTAGCTGCTGTAAAATTGATCGAAAAAGCAAAAGTATTTGATAATGCTCGCAGCAGGGCCTTGTTCGTAAATGAAATATAACCTCGTGACCAAAATTTCCCGAATGGACAAAGATAAAAACAAGCAAAAAATTGTTTAGGAAGTGAACGATTGGAAACAGCATTTTAATTGCATAGATTTAAAGAATGGAAGTTTGAAAAGAAAGGCAGGTCAGCTTAAATAGACGCTGAAAGAAATCCCTGGAGTCGATTTTCAGGTAAAAAGTGATTAACCTAATAATAGGCGATACCGTCCATTCACTTGGTGAGTACGGGTACGCTTTCGGCTACATTAAGTTGTTTTTGTTTTTTTTACGCTAACACATTTTACAAAGACTGCAAAGAAAAAAGAGGAAGCATTGATAGCTGTTGTTCAACTGATGCCCCCCCCCCCAGCCCTCATCCAAACCAGATTGGCAAGACAAAGATACCATTTGTTATATTATTGTCAAACTCTGATGAATAGATGGTGAGACTATGATATCCAGGTTGCAACGACAGTGGACCCTCGACTATAGCGACGGTTAGGGTCGAGAATCATCCCCCTTCCCTCCCCACGTCGCGATAGGTGAAAATCCACAAAGTAGCGACTTGATATCTACTTTAGTACATCCATATCTATAAAGGCTTTATAAGGGCCCCCCACACCCACCCACCCCCCACTCTTTAATAAATCTTTCCGCACGCTGTTAGTAACCTTCCCCACATTCCTGTAGACACTTCCTATGACATAAAACTTTTGCCACGCCCTTAAACCTACGTCATTTTGACAACAATCAAAGCCCTCTATTAAAAATCTGCGATACAAAACTAAATGTATCCTGCATAGATACGTAAAAAAATCCACACAAAAAAATCTGCAATACGGTGTGATCGCGAGAAGTGAACCATTATATGGCGAGGGACGACTGTATTGTAAGGTTAGGAACAAATATCAAATATGAACCACATATATGTATATATATATAGTAAATAAGATTGTTGTACAGCAGTAAAATTCCGGAGGTGTAGTCCCATAGGTGTATGACAATGCCTCAAAGAAAACTTGCAACTCATGTGACGCCCCCCCCTCCCCTTCCCATTTTCCAACCGGTGTAACTTTAATTCCAGAAAGAAAAAAAAAAGAATGAATATGTTGACCAGGAGCCACTGTAATTCCTTAACAAAATCTCAGGCGCATAGCAAAAAAAAATATAATAATTCATTGCACCTTATTCGAGGAACCGTTTGTTTGTGTTTTATTAATTGTCGGTCAGTTATTTCCAGTTACTTTATTATTATTAGTCACGTTAATATTATTTATCCATTAACAAATTACAAGTCGTAATTGAATGGTGTCTGCGACCCTTATTTTTCTCCGTGCAACCATATATATATATATTTTTTTTTTTTCCACATTTTTTACCCAAAGTAAATGTATCATTTTGAAAAAACCCGTTGTCTATTTTTGGTTCTCCCGCGTACCTATTAGTTCAACTTTAATTTTGTGTTCTTTCTTTATGTTCCACATTTGAGGAATTCCCATTATTAAATAACAATTCCTTGAAAACATATCTTTGCAAGGACATTGCTTTCATGTCTAATCGTATTTAAACGGTAAGCTAAATTATTCGTACTATTGAATTAGATTTTTTTTAAAATACATTTTAAATATAAAATGATCAGTTTATCTCTTAGAAAGAATGCTGTTTTTAATTCCAATTTAAACCTATAGCAATAATTTAATATTCATCAGCTCATACTGTGTTTATGTTTCGATAGGTCTGTATTGTTGTAACATCTGAATATGTTTAAATCATGGGCCTCTTTGAGTTAAATAGTAAAAAAAAAATTGATCTCCTTAACGATATTTTAACTTGTGTGACTTAAATGTTTTCATGAACGCAGTATTGGGTCAAAAGTTATTTCTTTTTTTTTTTGTGTACCCATTGACTGGACTTTTTTAAGGCAATCAGTCCCAGGCTCTACACACTGGTAATCAATTAATGTTTGACAACTGTGACAATAATCTATCAAGCTGAATTAAACCAGTCTTTAGATAAAGTTGTTTTCTAAGACACACTTTAGATTGTGACAAAACACCCCATAGAATATGTGTTTCTCATTACACATTGTGGGGATTCATTGACGCATTGTTATTTCCATTCATCGTGAACTTCCATGCCATACCGAATCAATTTGAAATCATGCATTTGAGTGAATTGCACTTTGAATTCATACATATATGTCATTTACACCTTTTTTTTTTTAAAGTTGCGTTTATTTCTTCGATGTACATCGCTCTGCTAATAACATTTGTTTCATTTAAAATGAAAGGAAACCTACATTGTTTTCATACTTTTAAAGAAAATATATAAATGCTTTAAATATATGATTTAAAAAATGTGGTAAGGAATATCATCATCCTAGTAATAGTTTCAGCTCTCTGCATGAGGTCAATAACATTTACATACAACGTTAACAAATTCACTGCCTGCTTTCAAATAAATATAGATTTGATTTTTTTTTTAATTATTATTAAATCCAAAAGGATTATGCACATATGGCATATAAATCTTAAATTTAAAAAAAAATTGTTTTCTATCACCAGCAAAAAAATCGACCTTCCACGGGATATTTGTCAAGTTCTCGAAATGTCGCAACAGCTACCAGAACTCCAACGACAGGAAACAACTGAAACTTATCAAAGCCTTGACCTCGAGAGTGTCATCGATAAACAAATTCTATCAATAACAGAAATTCTAACGTTCACGCTTCATATATTATGATTAAGGTACACTAAGTGTACACGGCCATCATGGTGTACACAGCCACGCCATTATCAATTGTGCGATATTGGTTAAAGAGCAGAGGGAATCACAATTCCTACCGAAGGGAGGATTTATTTCGAGAATTAGAAAGAAAACAGACCGGAAGAAAGACACATGTGAGTTAGATCTGACAAATTGAGACAAGGAAACACATCTTGAACACCCTTGAGCCTCAGTTTGTTATAAAACACTTGCTTTGCCTGTTTTAACTGGTGGAACATCAACTTAATTTTTTTTTAAAGGCAATTTGACAATAACTTTGGAAGTAATGCTAACTGGTGAAAGCAGCTCATTAAATAAGATGCACGCGTAATATTTAGCAAGTGTTAAATTGTATATGACTTTAAATTTACCATCAAGTTTTCTGTTTACAGAAATATATATTTAATCTTCGCTACATTGTTCAAAAAAGACTTCAACTAGAAACTCGATGTAAACAAACCGATTTATCATAACACACCTTCAAAATCACATAATTTATAAATAGAGAAACGCGTTTGCAGTAAAAGATTTCATAAAAGAGCTTTAGAAAAATTATATCAACATACCGTAGGTAAACCTCATGTCACCATCAGCGATTTGAAATGCGCGCAGATGAATTTCATCGCATTGCTACGTTTAACAACTATCCGAAGGCTTCGAACAAATCTGCACTTATTTTAGCGGAGAACGGTTTCAAGTTCATCGGAGGTGGCACCGACGGAGATGACCGCGTCGAGTGCGTCTTTTGCCGGTGCAGAGTGAGTGATTGGCAGGAGGGAGACGTCGTCCACGATGTCCACAAACGAAAATCTCCAACATGCTGCATGGTGACATTTTGGGAAAACGGAGGCATTGACAGTGCAAGGCGCAAGGATTTCCCTTGTGTTGCTCAAGAGTTGTTCGACCGCATCAAGAGAATAAATGATGATGTGGTTATTTCTCAAGCGGGAGGTCTCCTTGAAGGTGTTCGAAAGAGTGGACCGCAAAGTAGCGTTCAGTCCCGTGCATTACGTGATGTCGTCAGTAATGGAGTGCCCATTCCTGGGTTGGTCGTGGAAAAACCAAAATATCCGGACTTTAAAAGAAAGAACATGAGGATCGAGAGTTTCGCAAACTGGCCAAAGACCTACCAGCAAAATCCGGAACTACTTTCGGACGCGGGATTGTTTTACGAAGGTAAGTGACACAAGTAGGCGTGCTTTTTTGTTACTACGTATAGACTTAATAGGCAATAGATGCTCTATATCTTTCATTAGTTATGTGGTCAGTGCTATGGAAAATAATTAAAACTACTCATAGCCCGCCAAACATTGGCGACAGTAATGCATGAACTTCCCATCTACTAAAGTTACTTGACAAAACATGAACTCAAGTAACGCACATTTAAGAATCCAAATTTTCGCTACACCCCTTCGCCCCATGATACGTCACTGCACACTTTTTATTTCACGCCCATGAACTATATTAATATTATAATGTCCAAACCCTCTTTAAGCCGAATATTTATTACTCCATATTTAAATTGGGACGATTTTTGTTTTCCGAAACGAAAATATTACGCACCAAACGCAGTTGGGTTATTTAAAAATATATCATTTAGCGTAGTTATCGAGAATTATATTTTGCGCGCCATACGGAAATGGAGGCAGACACACCGCATGCGATTTTTGTAGCGCTCTTTTACGGCTTACGAAAAGATTTTTTTTTTAAATACGACCCCCCCCCCTTTTTTTTTTCTCCCCAAGTCCTTAAACTCCCCACATCCCTTTTTCTATACACATACACATAAACACACAAACTCTTATACATAAATAATGTTGGACGTGTTTATGAGATTTATGGTTCAAAAGTTTGTAAAATAGAGTAGCTTGCCCGTGGTTGCCGCCTACTTTCACCAAGTTGGGTTGGTTCCAAAATCATGTTTGTTGTTTCTAAACTCGATTCCACAAAGTTAACTAGAGTTCACTAAAACAGACCCAACAATTCAGTTTTTAAAGTAAACTTTATACTTCTACCCTGAACAATTTCTATCCTCTCACTTCACGGTGAAGTCATCCGATCCGTTCGTCCTCATAGTCAAACCATGACAACCCACAAATGATATGAAAGCGGAAATGATATGCACCAACCCGTTATGCTCTTTTCTCTCCGAAAATACTATTTGTTTCCCTCTTCGTGAACGTATCCCATAAAGGGCATAAAGGATTCCCATGTTTATTATAATTTATTTTTTAAATGATTATGTAATCTCTCTAGAATTCATTTAATATATTTTTTTCAATAATCCAGATTGTGGAAATTTATTCCGATGCTTCTCGTGTGGTAAGGGACTGGCGATATCGGCGGCAAGTGTGGATATCTTGTTGGAACATGCCAGGCTCTCTCCCAGGTGTCCTTTCATGTGCTTGAAGATGGGACAAAATTTTATCGATTTCGCACAGGAATCAAAGCCAACGGAATCATCGGTAAGTTATTTCATAGCCCCCATAATACTTATCTCCTAGTGGTGAGATTAACTACAATATATATATATATATATATATATATATTTTGAACGCGGCCCCCCGATAAATAAATAAATAAATAAATAAATATATATATATATATTTATTTATTTATTTATTTATTTATTTATCGGGGGGCCGCGTTCAATTTGTATTGTCTGCTGAAGAAGGCGTTTGGCCGATACGAAAATTGTGAACGGGTATCTGTTGAAATGACCACGGCGCAGTGAATAATGCAATTTTCTGTTGTGGTTGTTGTGGTTGTTGTTGTTGTTTTTGTGTGTGCCCTTTTTCCATTGGTACATGTGAAGTTTTGGCTTACTTTGTTTTGACCAGTTGTTTTGATTGCGTCTGACACAGGTCTCAACAGATCCAGTCTTTGAGACCATGGGAGCAACACCGGTGACCATGGCAAACGGTGAGTACTTAAGTGGAACGAAGTGAGCAAGTGCAATGGATTTAATAAACGATCTTTGACCAGTGTCCAAGGGGCAGCCGCCCTAATTGTGCGGGCTTGCATTGAGGGCGTTCTGGCAGTGACCTCCTAGCTTCAGGTGTGTAAGTCTACTCCAAAGTTATAGAGAAGATATATATATATATATATATATACAAACACATACAAGAAATCCAGTGTGTGTGGTATGTTTGTGAGAGTGAGAGAGAGAGAGAGAGAGGGGGGAGAGGGAGGGAGACAGAAAAGGGAGGGAGACAGAGGGGGTGATAGAGAACGAAGAGGGAGAGAGTGAGTCAGGGAGAGATTGAGACAGGGAAAGGGAGAGAGAGAGGGGAGGGAGAGGGGGGAGAGAGAGGAGAAACGCGAGAGGTGATAGAGAGAGGGTGAGGGAAATAGAGAGAAGGGCGACAGGAAGAGGTCAACACTCGAAGAAGCAGAGCGAGTTTATGTGATCGTTGCAATTATTTACCGCACAGTTTCATAAATGTCACGTCATACATGTCACGTCATAAATATCACGTCATAAATGTCAAGTCATAAATGTCAAGTCATAAATTTCAAGTCATAAATGTCAAGTCATAAATGTCACGTCATAAATGTCAAGTCATAAATGTCAAGGCGTGCAGATGGTCATTATCAAATTTCACGCTTGGGGGATAATAAGCGATACTCAACTTATTATCAATAAAAATTTCGTTCCAGCCACGCGTAGCGAACTCCTGATGAGAGACCCTGGTGTTCAAGTGCTTTTAGAGGAGGGCTACCCCGAAAAAGATATCCTGAAGATTGTAACAGAGATGGACAATAAAGGTAAACCACCCCATCTCTCCTCTTATATAGCTTTTGCTTCTGGTGTGGCTGCTCCCATTTCACAACCGGCCCTTCCCCTACTCAACATGTTTGATATTAATAGCATTGAATGGGGGGGGGGGGCTGTCAGGCAGTGAGTGTCATGCGTGACGGTTGCACTCAGGTAAAAATGGTTGAGTTTTTTTTTTCTAAAGAGAGTGGAGGAGGGGGGGGCAATATTATATTAATATATAAAGAGTCACGGGTATAGTGTAGGAATGTCTGCATGACTTTATGTAGGACATTGATTAAAGGTCATCACGTAGGGTGCAGGACTGTCTGTAGGCCTATTGTTTAAAAGCTGGCAGGTAGGGTGTAGGACTGTCCGTGGGAATAGTGTTTAAAGGCCGGCGCGCTAGGGTGTAGGACTGTCTCTAGGACTATAATTCAAATGCGGGCATATATTATAGAAAATGAAAAGTTAACTCCTGTTTTTTGTAGCACGTGGCCCCACCAGGGTATTTTCTCAAAGTACCCGGATCCAGTGTAAAACAAAACTGCCACCCCCCCCCCCCCCCCCCCGCTAAACATGTCATTTTTGTTATGTATCGCAAATTCGGGAAACTGAAAAAGAAATTAACAGGTGCCTGATTATCATGGAAACAGTAGGGTGTTATTCGAGAATACAGTGTTAGATACCGCCCAAGGAGGTGGGTTTGGGGTGTGGGGTGGGGGGTGCTCTTATCACAACAATTAAACGACTTAATAATCTCGTGTGTGTAACAAAAGCGAGATTGAATAGAAACACGTCGACTTGAGAAGCTACTTTAGATAAAATGGCTGAGCGTGATGACTCGCATTTATAGATTCTTCAAAGAGAGGAGGGGGTGGGGGATAACATGCGTTTAAAGTAAATCTGTCCACACCCGTCCGTCAGCCCCCCCCCCTTTTTTTACGGCTGTCAACCCGAGTGGGCTGGGTTGTTTTTTTGGTTTTTTTTGTTGATGTTTTTTATGTATTGTTTTTTTTTTTAAATTATTTTTTTTGTGTGGTTAAATGTGGATCAATGTCAACCCGTGTGAGCTGGGTTGTTTTTTTGGTTTTTTTTGTTGATGTTTTTTATGTATTGTTTTTTTTTTTAAATTATTTTTTGTGTGTGGTTAAATGTGGATCAATGTATGGAAATATGAGAAGCAATGAAATAAACGCATATTTCAAAGGGACATTACTATCCTGACTGATCACCACCTCTGACCGAAAAACGATGCCGCTGGGTGCCGTCCATGGCTTGACATGTAAAATAGTTTTAAATATACATTTGTTTTGTTTTATTTAATTAATATATGTTAATTTTTTTTTATTATGTTTGTTCAATTGTATGTATAGCGTGGTGAGCCCAGCCCTATGCAGTGCAGTGGACTCTTTTATATTACAGATTCTGCACGCGAGTTTAGCACGTGGGTTCCTCAGTCGAGCGTTATGTGAAAATAATCCAGTTTATACCAGAAATGATTTTTTTTTCACGGTTGATAAAAGATTTCTCTGTTTATGTAGGAGAAACAACAGAAGTAATGACAGTATATGAAAAACTAACCGGATTGGAAGTCTCCAAGAGTGAAGGTAAGGTTAGCTGCATGCTACTCAGTACTGGGCTTTTATTCTATTTAGTACTGTAGGTTCTTTACCTACTAAAATCCATTCTGAGAGTATTAAGACGATTTTGTTCCTGGTTGTTTAAAAGTCTTACTTTGTAAAGTCCTTAATGAAGATCCCAGGTTTCCTTATCGCCTGAAATATTTGATTCAAACATTGAAAGACAAACAACAGATGGAATCTTCACACGACTATGTGTCCGACTATAATGTTATAAACCTTTGTCTATTCCCAGATGCTTTTGATCCATTCAGCACAGTGTTATAGAAATAATACAAAGAACATTGCTTTTGCTTTCAGAAATGACCAGATTGATTGAGATGAATAAGCAGCTGCGCTTGAAAACTCTGTGCAAAGTCTGCACAACGGAGAAGGCTTCAATAGTCTACTTTCCCTGTGGCCATCTTGCCTCCTGCTTAGACTGCTCAGATGTAGGACGAGACTGTCCTTCATGCGGCAACCCTGCCCCTGGTTTAATCCGAGCCTTTATAAGATAAAAGCTGTTTTGAAAATAGATATTTTAAATTTTCTTTATCACTGTCGGGTCTATCAGATAAAGATATAATCAACTATTTTAGGCATTGCTACACTTAAATCAAATCTGAGTAGCTCAAAATGCCTACAACCTATTGTTTCAGTGAACATTTGTTGATGAAAGGACTTGTTACTCAAATATTTTTATGATGGCTTAAAAACATATCTAGCGTTTTAGTTGTACTCTTATAGATTTTTGTTTAAAACACTTTTTTTATACTTACTTGCTTCTAAAAACTAAATTTTGATGTATTATTTTTTTAAAAATCATGCAGATTTTCATTAATAAATACTATTATATATTTTTTTAGGTTGAGATATTATTTTATCTGTTATTATGAGTTGTAGGGTTTTTTTTCTACATCAAAAAAACAAAAAAAACAAAGAATTTCATAATATATTTTTTTTTTTAAATGTCTTTATAACAATACAACTCATCATATATTGAGAGCATGTTCTTTATGTTTTTGTTCTGAAATAACGCACAGACCTTCCATATATATAAAAAAAAACAATAGCGCATAACACCGTGTGTTTAAAGGGTAATACCTTATAACGGAAGGCATATAACGCTACTATGTACCTGCTTTTGCCATGTCTTGCTTGTGTACATTCCAGTGTTTCATTAATTAAATATTTACAGTCAGTGGCTAGAATGAGCCCCCCCCCCCGGGCAGAAATTTTTCTTTTAATACAGAGGGGCCGCATTTTCGGCAAACTGCATAGTGTTTTATTTCATGAAAGGGGGCGTCAAAAATCTTGCCCACCCCAACCCCCCCCCCGTCCCCCCCCGGCAGAAATTTTTTTTTTAATAAAGGGGGGCCGCATTTTCGGCAAACTGCATAGTGTTTTATTTCATGAAAGGGGGCGTCAAAAATCTTGCCCACCCCAACCCCCCCCCCCCGGCCCTGACCCTAATTAAGCCACTGTTTAAAGTGCTTTTCAAATCAGAGATCCAAAAATTGAAACACAATGTTTACGTTTGTAAGCTACATCGCAATTTGATGTGGGCCTAACAATAATTTTGTTAAATCAGTACTTACATTGATATGTATAATACTTAGGAATAAAATTCTTTATGAAATTATAACTGAACATTCTATGTAATAAAAATTACCATAATATCACTACTGTGTTTCTAGCGGAGTCTTGTGCTGAGTAATTTACATAGACTGTTTGTTCCTAGCATATATTAATGATCTACCCGAGAAACTGACATCCCAAGCAAGACTGTTCGCAGATGACACAGCGGTGTATAGGACGATCGTCAACAGATCTGACCTGGACCAGCTACAACAGGATCTCAATCTGTTAGCTGAGTGGGAGATGAGCTGGGACATGGAATTTCACCCTGCCCAGTGCTAGACGCTATCAGTCTCTAGAAGTTGTACTCTACACTACCAATACGAACTGCACGGCCATATACTTGAGCAAGTTTCCTCCGTAAAGTACCTGGGTGTTGCCATTCAAAGAGAGGTCCGCTGGGACGAGCATATTAACAATGTATGTAACCAAGCAAACAAGACCCTGGGGTTTTTAAGGCGTAATCTAAAGATTGGCAACTCCTGTGTGAAAGAAAGAGCATATAAAGCCTTTGTCCGTCCGGTTTTAAATTATGCATCTTCAGTCTGGGACCCATTTACCCAGAAGAGCATTGACAGGTTAGAAGCGGTCCAGCGACAGGCAGCACGCTTTGTCCTGAACCGCTACAGGAATACATCTAGTTTGGGCAGCATGCTGGAAACACTAGGCTGGTCACCATTGGAGGAGCGACGACGACAATCCAGGCTCACCATGATGTACAAGATAAATAATGGGCTGGTCCACTGTTCCAGTATTAAACAGAAACTCGTCCCTCTGCCCCATAGACAGCGACGAGGCCATGACAGGCAATTCAGGCTCATACCAGCAAGAAGCCAGTATAGGAGCTGCTCATTCCTGCCCAAGACAACCAGGGACTGGAACAAGCTTTCAAAAGGAACAGTTGAGGCGACAACACTAGACACATTTATGTCTATTGCCTCGAGCCTTTAAACCCCCGTTGCATGATTCCCTCACAAAGTGGCACTGGAAACCAGTGAAATGTCCTCATCAACACCAGGAACAGAAACATTGCAAATCCCCTCTACATGCATAGGAGCCAAAATGATCAATAAATTGATCGTGGGCCCTTAATATATAGAAGGAGAAGTAGACTCTAATTATTGTTAGGCAAACACAAAAACTGTTTCGTTTTAAAAATCATTTAATCATTTCAAACGTTATAAATTAAGAATAATATTTAAGTTTCAATTTGTACACATACACACACACACGCACACAAACACACATCAACATAGAGACAGGAAAAAAAAAACCACACACACACATGCCCACTTTAGGCGTGTGAGAAGGTTGCATGAAAATGCATGAAAAATTCAGTAATTTTTTCCCACCCTTTATTGCTATTTTAGTAGGAAAAATATGTAAAAAAAATAAAGTATAGAATAAATTATTTGAAACAATTTTTCGCGTTTTTTTTAATAATAAAAAAAAAGAATGCGCTCTTATATGGTATTTTCCAGTACAATGCTACTCATCCTTCTGTTCATTCTGCAAATTCATTCTATTTAACTAGAATAAATGACCCGATGTTATCGGGATAATAATGGTAGATCCTTTGCGATAATTTATAAATGCTATTGCAAAAACTCATCCCAATGCTACTCATCCTTCTGTTCATTCTGCAAATGCATTCTATTTAACTAGAATAAATGACCCGATGTTATCGGGATAATAATGGTAGATCCTTTGCGATAATTTATAAATGCTATTGCAAAAACTCATCCCAATTCATCACTTTTAAAATTAAACTGATATTTACATTTCTAACATCTATAATTTTTTAGAAGTGTTTATCTGCCATATATTATATTCGTATCCTACACCCTTTCACGCTCCTAAACTACTTTCCCCCCTCTAAACATGACCTTAAATTACCCAGTCTTAATTATCACTAATTATATCGCTTTTGTCACTAAAGAAATTAATTGAGTGACAATTACTACGCTAGAGAAATACTTTAGATTTACCCATTTTCGTGCCATTGTATTAAAGCTTTTTTCTCTCAAATTTTTTAAAAACCTAATCTTAAATTTACAACAAAAACTTTATATTTGATATAAATATATTTTGTATTATAGGAATTCGATATATATTGATATCTTCATAAAAAATTTACACATATTTTTGCCTTTTTAAAAAAAAAATATACATTATCAGAAAATCTTCTATTTAATTATATAATACCGATAATAAAACGTGAATGGGATTATTGTAATAAAATAAGGGAGGATTCAATGTTATATGTTATATTCACATGATCCAATTAGATAGTTCAAGTTGAATACAATTTACCCCAAATTTTTACAGTCCATGACATGGTCCATAGAGTAGAGCACTACAATAAAACTATCAAGTCTAAGTGTCTACGTGTATCTTGATTTTTTTTAAATTTAAATTCCATGTAAGCTGTTTTATACATAAATCCAAGTCGTTGTAAACAAACGTAGTTAAAAAAGTCGATTGATAAATAATTATGGGAACAAGTCTTTAATACTATGCCACTTCCTTATGCTTATGCCGCGTAACTATTCTAACGGGAATTCCGCTAATTGTGATAGGAAATTTTAATCTTAAACTTTAAACTATGGAAAAACCCTTCCTCAAATAGATTACCCCCCCTCCCCACCTCCCCCCTCCCCCCCCCCAGTCCCCCCCCCCCCCCCCCCCGAAAAAAAAGAATTATTTAATAAACACATTTTTTTTAAAAAGATAGTTATGACGGCTACTGTTAATACTGCATTGACATTGAATGTGCATTACCCCTAATTAACAAATAAAAAAAAAAGAACTATTTCTCCACTGTGTCAAAATTTGAATTTCCGAAATTATTTTGAACATTTCGCGTAAGGATATGGCCTCTTTATCCATCCTCTTTGCCCAGTCATGACTCTGTATGTCACGGTCGCTGTGGAAGTCTACGTGATCGGTGTGGTTGTAGCCTGTGACATCGCATTTCTACTCAGTTTCATAGGGTAATCATACTCAAATACACTACATTTTAATCTGCACCTGAACTTTTGGCCTGAAAAGGGTAGAGGTACACAAGTTTTGGTACGTAATCGGTACTACGCGTCCGGTGTAAACTAATATCGGTAGACTGTTTGACTTTGACCAGTATGCTTTGACTTAAACTTAGTCTTAGTCTTAGAGTTAGACTCGGGAGACATTTTCAACAAAAAAATTGTCATATACTGTCTACCATATGCCTATACATTTAAATACAATAGTAGTTGAAAAAAGTGCTACATTTTCATTTATTTGGTTCCTTTTCTCAGTTCATCACTTTCAATCATATAATATAATTAATTATAATTGCCAATATTTCAATTTCTTGAATATATTTCTCTAAATTAAAAAAAATGTCAATTTGTTGTCAATAATATTAGTCTGGTATTATATTAATGAATTAAAGTATAAAATAAGCTTTATAATATTATTTTAATTTTCGGCTAATTTTCTAATTTAAATTTAAATTCATTTTTTTCAAAATGTAAGTTAATAAGTTCCTATTTTTCCTACTACTACTATACCTATGCTTATACTACATTATACTTATACAACTTATACATAAATTCAATAAACTTCAAAATTTTGTAATGAAAAATTATCATAATGAATAAATCATACATAAATGTAAGATACAATTTTGTATCCTCATTATTTTATTTTAAAAATGCAAACAATTATTTGTATTTATGAAAGAGAAAAAAAAAACAATGGCTATAAGTGAATCAAAGGAGTGAGCCCAATACTATATATAATATATATATATATATTAATGAAAATTAAAAGTATAAAGCTTGCAGGCTAAGTCTAAAGTGTAATTAATTAGCTTACTACTACTATTCTATTTCGCCTAGTTAGTTACCAGACCCATTATTTTCACCTACTCTTAATAAAATGTATCCTCTCCATTCCTTTCATTGTCTTTTATTGGTTATATTTTATGTAACTGATAGTCATAGATATTTTAATGTGTCATAAATGTAATTGTACTGGTTATATAATTGTACTTCATATTTAATTCCAGAATATAACTAAAATGGCAGAGGAGGACAAAGATGGCCATAACTTAACACATGCCTTAGTGCAGAAAATTATAAGGAATTGTCCATTCCTGACAGAAGAACTTTTAAAACGTTTATGTAGATTATTCCAGAATATTGAGCTGTCTGCAGATTTTGTAAATTCTCTAGATCTTTCAAAAATGCTAGGGATAGCAGAGACTCACAAAGAAACAGATTTACTCACTAATCTGGGAAAATGTATCAACATAAAAGAATCCCAGGAAACCGATATGCCAAACAAACCAAATTTTTCATCCAAGGAAAAAAACTATTGTTCTGAATCAAAAGAAACTGAAAAGAAAGTGGAAAAGAGCTCTGTTAAACTTAACATCAGTTGGGATGAGGTCCATGGCCAATGTTTTAAGTCATGTAGCAAAGTCAATAAAGATAGAGTTGATAGAGTTAAAGACGAGGACTGTGAAAAGTATGAAAATTGTAATGATTCAAGGACAAGAGAGGGAAGCACAGTTTCATTAAACGATTTATTTAAGTGGCAGAATTTTCATTGCAGGTCTGAGAACATTCAAGTTTATTTGGTTGAGAATACAGTAAGAAATGAGTATAAGAAGGAAGTAAATAGGATTTGCACATTTGCTAAGTTCCCAAGAAGTGCAACAACACATTCATATTCCCTGGCAGCTGAAGGATTTATATACATTGGCTCTGGGAAAGATAATGATGATGAGGTCTTGTGCTGTTTTTGCAATAAAAAGAAAAAAGACTGGCAAGCAACAGACAATGTCAAAATTGTTCATAAACAGATTTGTCCTACTTGTCCCATGGTTACTGGAAAGAACTGTGACAATGAGCCCTTTTCCACAACATCTTCTTTAAGCTCTGTAGATCCTCAGGTTTATAAAACATTTGATCGGCTGAGAGAAATAAGAGATAAAGAACGGCAGAAAGATATGGAATCAGACTCTGCTCTTGAGATTAGTCAGCCAGCATCAGACAGATTTCATCAAGAATCAAAACATGTTAACAAGAACGGAAAAATTCAGATGGCAGAACGTAGTATCACTAGATCTGTGAGTGAGAGACAGAAAGTTCAAGAACAGGCACCTTTAAATAAAGTTGGCTCAAGACCAATTCAGCCGAGCGACAATGATGGTCCATCCAGTGTTGCGCCATCAGGAGTTGAATTTAGGTCATCAAATGTCCAAGATTTTCCTTACGCTCTAACAATAGATTCAAGAAACAGATCAAACGCTGCAACATCTCAGAATGTAGAAGTTACTCAAACTGCTGCGGTGAAGCCTCCAGAAAGTTCTTTCGTACCTCAGTCCACGGCTTCAGGAAATGTCAACACAGCAATGACTTTATCGGCATCTGAAAATTCAACAACCAGACCACAAATTAATACAACTGCAGAACGATCCAATAATCCAGTAGAAGGCACACCAACTGCAGCACCAGCGACCAATTCCAACACTGCCGCTAACAGTGGGGCGCAAATAGGAAGTAACACAGCAGAAAATGGCATGAGTAGCAGAAGCAATGGACCGGGGCCCACCTACGCTGAACTTGGAATCATAACAGAGAGACCTAAAAGGACTGAATATGCTCTAAGACAGAAAAGGTTAGAGACGTTCGAAAATTGGCCACGGGATCACCACCTGACTCCTGAAGACCTTTCTGAGGCTGGGTTTTATTATGCTGGTGAGTTTTAGAAAAGTACAACTTTTTTTAGAGTGCTTTTTTTTTAATGTCAAAATTCCTAATGTCAATTTAATATCAAGTAGCTGCTTCAAAATATCTATTTCATTTGTTAATCACATATTTAAGCCAAAAAAAATTTTGTGTTATGTCTAATAATAAGTTATGCTTTCTTTAGCTCTAAGCAAATGCATTTTGCATTTGTAAATCCTATGGTAAAATAATTAATTGTACTGTCATTTTGCAATATACAAACTGTCATTTGCAATATAGAATGATTTGAGGAAGTTTAACTTATGTGCAGTGTTTATTTCCCAATCACACAAAAGGTTACGGCGACTGCGCCAGGTGTTTCTACTGTGGAGGCGGCCTGAGGAACTGGGATGATGAAGACAATGTGTGGGTGGAGCACGCAAGGTGGTTTCCGAAATGTGCCTACATACGTCAGCAGATGGGGCAAGCATTCATAGATGCAGTACAAGAACTGAACAAACAGTACACTGTGGTAAGTTCTAAGAAAACTGTGTCAGGGCCAAGGCCATAAAGATAAGTTTAAAAAATCAATATAGTTATTGTAATCAATTATATGCTGCTTCAAAAATACACAGTAATGAGTGATATCTCTGTGATGTCAGTACTAATAATATTTTATTATATTATTTGCAGATACCTTTTAGCAGGGTGACTGAAAAGATTGGACCAGTGTCAGCAGCATTTAATCTTGGTAATTATAAAACTTTTAGAACTGCTATTGTATTTATTGCCTAGTAAATGTATACCCTTTTTTTTCTGAAAGTGACAACTGTTCTTTTGGTAAATTACGAACCCTAAAGGAACTTTGGTGTTGAGGCCTATACATCGAGATCTTGGGTTATGATCATTGGGGTTTTATTATTTTTTTTTTAATGCAAAATTATTTTAATTTCTGCTTAAAAAAATTACCTGAATTATTTGGAAATAATGTTTTTTGTTTACTTATCCAAAGCAATAGGAAATAACATGATGCTGATCAATTTTCAATTAATATTTTTTAACTCCAAGAAATAGATTGATTGGAATAGATTGATTAAAGCATATAATTGCATACATCTGTTTTTGCTCAATTTCAGATACCAAAGAAGCACCTTTGAAAAGAGACCCAGCCGTAAAAACCATTGTAGACATGGGTTACTTGGAGAAGGACGTAGTGGAAGCTGCACTGCGTGTGAAAGCCGAATGTAAGTTTATCAATTTTTTTCTCTCCTTCAGAACTTTGATATTCACATACTAACAGCTGAAGTATCAAGTTAGTTCAGAGGTGGAAAGGTTTGGGCATATTCATTAAAATACCTAAAAAAAAAATTCTATTCTTAATAAGGTGTAAAGAGAATTACTCTATTCTTAATAGGGTGTAAAGAGAATTACTCTATTCTTAATAGGGTGTAAAGAGATTGTTAAGACTATTAAAGTGGGTTGGTAGCTAGGATTAATTTTTAATTGGAAGACAAAATTCTTTAATGGGGGTCCAATCAGTTAGCTACTCTACAAGTAATGGACATAAAAAAGATATAAGGATTATAAAATGTCCTCATCAGACACACACACCCGTTTCCACCTCACCAACCCTTTTCCACCATACAAAACTTTGGCTCTTGTTAATCAAATGCTGTTTAGATGTTGCCTGGTTCACTTTACTCAACTGTAAATATTTTCAATAAACAGTCAGCATTGTGTCTGCCGATGCTGTACTAGAGAGCCTGGAGATGGACGGGAAGCGAAAGGTCAATGCGTCCAAAATTATTGTGCCATACACAAGCTCCAACTTTAATCCTCAAGCTGGCCTAGGTAAATATTGAAGACATCAGTGAGACACTAACAATTTGTGTGAATAAAACAGTATAGGTTAATTTTTAATAATGGTTACGCAGAATACGAATGCAAACGTTTCGGGAAGTGCCTTCATCAGTATAACAAAAGAACACACAAAAAATATAAATATACTGCTATTCATTTACAAAATTGATATATACAAGTGTATTTTCAAAAACTGATTGAATGTATGTGTGTACCTTCATTTAGAATGTTTGACTAATGTGTCTTAATTCAGTGTCTTTGTCATTGTCCGTATGGTCAATATGTCTTGAAAGGAAATCAGCTACTGTGTTATCTTTTCCTTTTATTGTCCTTATCTCATACTGATAATGTAGTAGGATCAACGACCATCTGTTTATTTTGCTGTTTGCTATTTTCTTTCTATTTAGTGCCATCAATGGCTTGTGATCAGTTAATAAGATAAATTTTCTACCTAATAGATATTTCTGTAATTTTGTAAGTGCCCACACAATTGCTAAGCATTCCTTCTCAATAGTCGAGTAGTTAATTTCAGTTCTGCTTAGTGCTCTACTTGAATAAGTGATTGGTCTTAGTTTATGATTGACTTCTTGCATAAGGCAAGCTCCTAATCCATTGTTGGAAGCGTCTGTCACTAAAGTGAAAGACTGATTAAAGTTGGGTGATAACAATATGTTGTCACTTTGGAAAATTTCTTTGATTGTTTTTAATGCATTCTCACATTCCATCCGTCCATACGATTTGTTTCTTGCTATCTTTGTTTATTAGTTTCCTTAAAGGTAAAGTAATATCAGAGAATTTTGGAACAAAAGTGCTATAAAAATTGCACAAACCCAAAATGGCTTTGACTTCTTTTTGAGTGTGTGGTGTTTTTATGTTTAATATTTTTCCTCTGTTGTGTTCTGTGGGCTGAATTGTGTTCTTACTAACTTTAAATCCTAAAAATTCTATTTCCTCTTGTGCAAATTTTAATTTGTTTGGTGCAATTGTGACTCCATGTGATCTTAATTTGTCTAATACTACTTTTATTGTCTCTATATGTGTTTTCATATCTTTAGTGTGGATATAGATATCATCAACAAAATGTACAACATTTGGTATGCCTGCTAACATGATTCGCATGAATCGAGAGAATGTTGCGGTAGAATTGACCAGACCAAATGGCATTACTGTCCATTCAAACAAGCCTTCCTCTGTGGCAAATGCAGTATAAGGCATGGAATCTGGATGCATGCCTATTTGCCAGAATCCTCTGTTTAAATCTAGGTGTGTGAAAAATGTGGAGGAGCCTATTTCTTCAAGTAGTTCTCTGGTGTCCCTCATGGGTTCTGCATCTAACTGGGTGATTTTATTTAACTCCCTGTAGTCACAGCATATACGGCACTGGCCATTTTTCTTTTTTACTACTACCATGGGTGATGATATTGGTGAATCTGATCTTTTAATTTTGTTAGTCTGTATTAAGTGATTTAGTTCTTTCTTTACTTCTTCCTTAAATGCATATGGGATTGGATAGATTTTGTGTTTGAATGTGGGTTCCTGTGTTAATATAATTTTGTGATCTAAACTACTAGTGTGTCCTATGTTCTCTGTGATGACATCTTTGTATTCTTTCAGAATTGTTGTTAAGTGTCTGTTTGTTGTGGTGTTATTTTCATTGTCTTCTAATTGTATAACACTAGCAATGGTGGCTGTGCTAGGTATTTCATTGGTGATGGTGTGTAAATCTTCTGGACAAGAGTCATATTTTCTGAGCAAGTCAACATGTAGGACTTTCAGTTCACCCTTCATGTGGATTACATAATCAACTAAATTTAACTTATCATGTACTGTAAAAGGACCCTGCCAGATCTTTTGTCCATTATTGTTTGGCAACCAGACTAAAACTTTATCATTTACTTTAAGATCTCTGAGGTATCTATTTGTATTCTTTATGTAGGCGTAGGTTCAAATCCCACTTCTGACACCATTTGTAACACATATGCTCTGACATCATTGTAACTCATGGCGTGAGATCTTATTTCTTAGTGGGTTATGTCAGTAGCATGGTCACTTGCTTTATGTTAATAATTCAGGATGCCGGCTAAGACTTCTTCATTCTTCCACTTATTATCCAGGCACGCAAAGAAGGATACTGAATTCTGATTAAACTTACAGTACTTTATTGAATCACACTTTACACTGATAATATTAATAATAATCCTTGCATGAATGTAATCATTTCACATATATATATATAGTATTCCACCATTCAGAAAGACATGTCTTCACTCTACTATAAATCAGCTCAACTGTACAATAACTCAGCTCTAACTCTCTCTCTACTGATCTGCGCGCACTATCTCAATCAACTGCCCCTTTTATTACCAGCAAAGCGTGGAAAACGACCGCTTTGCCAAAAACATAATTTACTCTCCAAAAAACGTGGAGCTCACATTTTCCTCTCAAAAATACAATCCACTCTCTCTCCTCGTGGAAAAATGTGGTCAACACAATTCACTGTTCACTCATGCTACCTCTCTGTTTTCTTGTGAAAACATAGTATGTTACACATTCCATATTAATTTTTGGTACAGAAAGTATAAGGGTCCTTAAAGAGAAGAACAACCAGCTCCGTCAACAGACTGTGTGTAAGATTTGTATGGACAAGGAAGTGGCCGTCGTGTTCCTGCCCTGTGGTCATCTGGTTTCTTGCGCAGAGTGTGCCACTGCCATGAAGGATTGCCCAGTCTGCAGAGTCAATATTAAAGGAGTTGTGAGGGCTTTTATTGGATAAATAAAAAAATTAACTATTTAAATTATTTACTATCTTTATGATTGATTATATTAATTTATTTGTATATATATTTTAGTAGATATATATATTTAAAATGAAATAATTATAAGATTATAAATAATTGCTGACATGCATGTAAAAAAAATGTTATTGTTCTATTTTATAATTTGTTTGTTAGAGTTCTATTATGGTCTTTGGATATGTTAAAAGTTTATATTGTTTTAAACTTTTTATTGTTAAATGAAAAAAAAAAGAAAAAAAAAATGCTTTTTTGCTACCCTCAATAAATATACATTGCCAAAAAAATAAAATTAACCTTTTTTTTTTTTTTAAAAAATAAAAAATTTTTGTTAGAGTTTTATTATTGTCTTTGGATATGTTAAAAGTTTATATTTTTTTAAACTTTTTATTGTTAAATGAAAAAAAAAAAGAAAAAAAAAATGCTTTTTTGCTACCCTCAATAAATATACATTGCCAAAAAAATAAAATCAACCTTTTTTTTTTTTAAAAAATAAAAAATGTGTTACACATCAAATGTAGTATACACCTACATTACATCAGTAATAAATTACAAATGTTTCATGACATGATGTTACTGGTGATAACTTATACATATATACAAGTCAATACTCTTCAACCAGTTAATATATTATTTTCTTGAACCCTTGAGATCGCAAAATTTTCTTCCATCAATACCTAATACCAATTACTGCACTTTAAATGAACAACAGTGTGAACTAGAAGAAAGTTAAGGATATAATGCTGAAGTCTAAAATCACGTTCTTCATTCAATAGAATATTAATATTGAGATTTACATTATACAGACTAACATATGCTGTTGTCGAAAAAACTTGACAGGCTGTGTTACATTATTTGAAAATTAAAACGAAGTATGATTTATATTAAAAGCCAACAACCAAGGTTATTAATAAATAAGTTATTACCATATGACTTGCCGAATCAAAACTTGTTTTCTCCACATCTTCTGAGGATCAATCACTTTTTTAAGTTAACAAGCTATTAGCTTCCATTCCATGATGTCAGATGGTAACATTTTACTTAATACTGGAGCATGACTTCAGTTATTTTTAATACTTTTAAAGTTATATAATATAATTAATCTAATAGATAAATTTATACCTACTAATGCTGAGTGAAAATATAACGCAAGACATCTCAAGGGCCTAGGAGAATCAAAAAGATTCCTTTAATTTAGACATGAAACATTTTTAAAGATTCATTTCGGTTGAATGTTAATTATATTTTTAAGAAAAAGGCAGCTTTATGGTTTTGGGAGTCATGGTTTTAAAAATAAGTACACATGATATCTGTGTAACAAATTGAAGTAAATACAAATGATATCTGTGTAACAATTTGAAGTAAATGCGCATGATGTCTCTGTAACAATTTGAAGAAAATACACATGATATCTCTGTAACAATTTGAAGAAAATACACATATCTGTGTAACAATTTGGAGTAAAAGCGCATGATATCTGTGTAACAATTTGAAGAAAATACACATATCTGTGTAACAATTTGAAGAAAATACACATGATATCTGTGTAACAATTTGGAGTAAATGCGCATGATATCTGTGTAACAATTTGAAGAAAATACACATGATATCTGTATAACAATTTGGAGTAAATACACATGATCTCTGTGTAACAATTTGAAGAAAATAAACATGATATCTGTGTAACAATTTGGAGTAAATACACATGATATCTATGTAACAATTTAAAGAAAATACACATGATATCTGTGTAACAATTTGGAGTAAATGCGCATGATATCTGTGTAACAATTTGAAGTAAATGCGCATGATATCTGTAACAATTTGAAGTAAATGCGCATGATATCTGTGTAACAATTTGAAGTAAATGCGCATGATATCTGTGTAACAATTTGGAGTAAATACACATAATATCTGTGTAACAATTTGGAGTAAATACACATGATATCTGTGTAACAATTTGAAGTAAATACACATGATATCTGTGTAACAATTTGAAATAAATACACATGATATCTGTGTAACAATTTAAAGTAAATACACATGATATCTGTGTAACAATTTGAAGAAAATACACATCTGTGTAACAATTTGGAGTAAAAGCGCATGATATCTGTGTAACAATTTGAAGAAAATATACATATCTGTGTAACAATTTGAAGAAAATACACATGATATCTGTGTAACAATTTGGAGTAAATGCGCATGATATCTGTGTAACAATTTGAAGAAAATACACATGATATCTGTATAACAATTTGGAGTAAATACACATGATCTCTGTGTAACAATTTGAAGAAAATAAACATGATATCTGTGTAACAATTTGGAGTGAATACACATGATATCTATGTAACAATTTAAAGAAAATGCACATGATATCTGTGTAACAATTTGGAGTAAATGCGCATGATATCTGTGTAACAATTTGAAGTAAATGCGCATGATATCTGTGTAACAATTTGAAGTAAATGCGCATGATATCTGTGTAACAATTTGAAGTAAATGCGCATGATATCTGTGTAACAATTTGGAGTAAATACACATGATATCTGTGTAACAATTTGAAGTAAATACACATCATATGGGTGTAAAAATTTGAAGTAAATACAAATGATATCTGTGTAACTATTTAAAGTAAATACACATGATATCTGTGTAACAATTTGAAGTAAATACACATGATATCTGTGTCACAATTTGAATTAAATACAAATGATATCTGTGTAATAATTTGAAGTAAATACACATGATATCTGTGTAACAATTTAAAATAAATACACATGATATCTGTGTAACAATTTGAATTAAATACATATGATATCTGTGTAAAAATTTTAAGTAAATGCACATGATATCTGTGTAACAATTTGGAGTAAATGCGCATGATATCTGTGTAACAATTTGAAGTAAATGCGCATGATATCTGTGTAACAATTTGAAGTAAATGCGCATGATATCTGTGTAACAATTTGAAGTAAATGCGCATGATATCTGTGTAACAATTTGGAGTAAATACACATGATATCTGTGTAACAATTTGAAGTAAATACACATCATATGGGTGTAAAAATTTGAAGTAAATACAAATGATATCTGTGTAACTATTTAAAGTAAATACACATGATATCTGTGTAACAATTTGAAGTAAATACACATGATATCTGTGTCACAATTTGAATTAAATACAAATGATATCTGTGTAATAATTTGAAGTAAATACACATGATATCTGTGTAACAATTTAAAATAAATACACATGATATCTGTGTAACAATTTGAATTAAATACATATGATATCTGTGTAAAAATTTTAAGTAAATGCACATGATATCTGTGTAACAATTTGAAGTAAATACACATGATATCTGTGTAACAATTTGAATTAAATACAAATGATATCTGTGTAACAATTTGAAGTAAATACAAATAATATCTGTGTAACAATTTGAAGTAAAAATACAAATGATATCTGTGTAACAATTTGAAGTAAATACACATCATATCTGTGTAACAATTTGAAGTAAAAATACAAATGATATCTGTGTAACAATTTGAAGTAAATACACATCATATCTGTGTAACAATTTGAAGTAAATACAAATGATATCGGCGTAACAATTTGAAGTAAATACAAATGATATCTGTGTAATTATTTGAAATAAATACAAATGATATCTGTGTAACAATTTGAAATAAATACAAATGATATCTGTGAAACAATTTGAAGTAAAAACACATCATATCTGTGTAAAAATTTTAAGTAAATACACATGATATCTGTGTAACTATTTGAAGTAAATACACATCATATCTGTGTAACAATTTGAAGTAAATACACATCATATCTGTGTAACAATTTTAAGTAAATACACATGATATATGTGTAAAAATTTGAAGTAAATACAAATGATATATGTCTAACAATTTGAAGTATATTCACATGATATATGTCTAACAATTTGAAGTAAATACACATCATATCTGTGTAACAATTTTAAGTAAATACACATCATATCTGTGTAACAATTTGAAGTAAATACACATCATATCTGTGTAACAATTTTAAGTAAATACACATCATATCTGTGTAACAATTTTAAGTAAATACAAATGATATCTGTATAACAATTTGAAATAAATACACATGATATCTGTGTAACAATTTGAATTAATACACATGATACCTGTGTAATAATTTGAAGTAAATACACATGATATCTTTGAAACAATTTGAACTAAATACACATGATACCTGTGTAACAATTTGAAATAAATACACATGATATCTGTGTAACAATTTGAAATAAATACACATGATATCTGTGTAACAATTTGAACTAAATACACATGATACCTGTGTAACAATTTGAACGCTAGGATTTCCGTTTAAAAAAAAAAAGAAAAAGTATTGATCTTAAGGCCCTTGACGCGAACAAGTCTATAAGTTTCAGCGTGACTTAAATTTGTTTGATCAGAAGAAAGAAAAATAAAAAACCGATAAGAATCCATACATTAAACGCGTCTTATACGAGTTTGAGTCACATGATGTAATATCTTTACGGGATATCGAAATAAGCATATGACACATAATTTTATTGTATTTAGCTACATAGTTAAATTTTTATTTCATATGTATCCGTGAAAAAAAAATTTTGTTAACAAATTTAAATATTAAAAATATCTCTCAGTAATAGACAAATTATTAAGTTTGCGAATTTGATTCAAAACTGACACGAAAAAAAAAATCCCTAATCATATATTGGAAATACTTAGGCGAAATTATCTTTCGTTTGGAGTTTGCCTGTCGTCATATTGAAATCTATGATCACAGCTAAGCCGTCGCGTGACATTTTGAGGACACCTGTTACTTTTATTTTCTCCCCACCTCCCTGTATCTAAAGTTGATAGCGTAGTTCTTTTTTTTTTCTTCTAAATCACAACAATTACCCCTTTAATTACGATTCCCTCTTTTTTATTATCTTTCTTTTATACGAATTTCTTACGCCTGGTTTGATATAAACGAAAAAATATACACTGTTTAAAAATGAAATCTTCATTCTTAAACACATTAAAATATTTATCCCAATATTCATTCACAGATCAAAATGTCCCAAGTGGGCAACCAGCTCTGTCGAGCTATGTTGGACCAGATGTCTTTGCGGAACATGGCATTATGGCGCTTAGTCACGGAGACTTGTTTGAACAAGGAGAGGGGCATTCTGATGTTCAACGCTGGTGCAAAGAGCAGGTTGGCCCATTCAAATATCTTTTTAATGAATGCAAGGGTTGTGTTGATGTACAATACAACCGAAGAAAGCCATAAAGAGCAACGACAGAAGGGCGTTGATGACATAATTCGCTATGCAAGCGAAATAAAATCAGATCATGGCTCTTACACTTGGGAGAAATTCAATTTGGCTTCAGAGTCTCGCAAGGATCTGTAGCTGGAATATCAATAACTCACATTGACACCAGGTTGGAAATAATCAATAGCCAAATGACAGCTGTGAAAAGAAATGTAACAAAAAATGGACGTAACGATTAACTTTTACAAATCCGAGTTCTCAGACGCATTATCGAAAAGACAAGAGAAAGCAGGCCACTATAAAATGAGATGTTAGATACTTTGAACATTTTAGAGCAAAACGTTCCACCGATACCCAAACCACAGATTTGCCCACACCATCAACATAAGGCCGAAAATTCAGATTGCTTGATTCTATAAGTTGTTCTATTGGTCAAGGATAATTTTGAAAAAATAGTTAAAAAAGAGTTGTATAGGAGGACCGTGCGAGTCCACCTATCGCCGACTGGAACCCGAGGCAAAGTCTTGAAACAATTTCATTTATTTATTTATTTAGGCATTTTTGTATAGCGCTTACCTTACAGCTCTAAGCGCTTTACAATTATTAAAAATATGTAAACTATTTAAACAGCTAAAGTAAAATAAAAATGAAAAACCAGAGACACTGGAATAGTAACTACAATGTGAACATTGACTGTAGAAACATTTGTTTCTTCCATGGAAACTGGCCTTGGGACATTGCGTATATTGACAATATACCACGTTCAAAATGCCCCCCCCTCCTCTTCCACACACAAACATCTATTATGTTATGTTGGGAATAATCATTAATAAAAAAAAACTCCTCCAGAGTTGATCACCCTTTTTACTACCACATGTTCGCCACCACATGTTCGCCACCACACGTTCGCCACCACACGTTCGCCACCACATACTCGCCACCATATTATGATTCAAATTTTAATCCTTAATGACTTATCGCAAGAAATGCCCCAGGAATTTATATATGTTATTTGACGCGACTCAATGCCAATGTGAGCCATGTCCGCTTATCCTAATTAAAGAGTATCGCAGATTTTAATTTTTTTTTGTTCAAAATTAAACTTTCAGTCCATTTGAAACACAACAATATCTGAGAAGGTGTGATTAATTATGCTGGTACTAATTAATACTTTGTCTATCGAGTATTGAAAGCCATTAAAATAACATTTGAAACAAAGTTTGTCTTTACCGTAGTTCAACACCTCTTTTTCAAAAGTAATTCTTAATTCATTTTTTAAACATTGAATACCATGTATAATGACTTGTTTTGTTTTTTTTCACTATGCTTTTTGTTTCGCTTAGGCAACAGCTGGTTGGGTTATTCTACTGTCTCGTAGAAGATTTTTAATCATTTTTTTTTTTTGGCATAGTTGAAAATGTTCACCTAATTTAATCCAGTTTGGAATAAAGAAAATATTTGATTTAAGACGTTTAACTTGAAACGAAAGCATATTTTTTAAACTTTGTTTAAAAACTTTTTTTTTAAATAGTGTGATCTTTGGACAAAGGTAATGTTCAATAGTTATCCCTGCTAAATCACGTGAATTCTACACTATACCAGCGAAAATCTTTCATTGAGGATACAGAAATTAATTTATTTTATTGTCAACTGAACTCTTTTGAAAAAAAAATCTTTTCGGTAACTTTAGGTTAATCAATATGATTTTTAAAATGAAACATAAGCTTTCCCCCCCCCCTCTTTTTTCTCAAACTATACTCTCACCACGACCCTGTTTACAACTCAGAATGGTGCATTTCACCAGACTGATGTGGATGTGTGAAGAAAGGGAGACATTTTGGTATTGGTATGGATGTGTGAAGAAAGGGAGACATTTTGGTATTGGTATGGATGTGTGAAGAAAGGGAGATATTTTGGTATTGGTATGGATGTGTGAAGAAAGGAGACATTTTGGTATTGGCATGAATGTGTGAAGAAAGGGAGACATTTTTGGTATTGGTATGGATGTGTGAAGGAAAGGAGACATTTTGAATTGGTATGGATGTGGGAAGAAAGGGAGACATTTTGGTATTGGTATGGATGTGTGAAGAAAAGGAGACATTTTGGTATTGGTATGGATGTGTGAAGAAAGGGAGACATTTTGGTATTGGTATGGGTGTGTGAAGAAAGGGAGACATTTTGGTATTGGTATGGCTGTGTGAAGAAAGGGAGACATTTTGGTATTGGTATGGGTGTGTGAAGAAAGGGAGACATTTTGGTATTGGTATGGATGTGTGAAGAAAGGGAGACATTTTGGTATTGGTATGGATGTGTGAAGAAAGGGAGACATTTTGGTATTGGTATGGGTGTGTGAAGAAAGGGAGACATTTTGGTATTGGTATGGGTGTGTGAAGAAAGGGAGACATTTTGGTATTGGTATGGATGTGTGAAGAAAGGGAGACATTTTGGTATTGGTATGGGTGTGTGAAGAAAGGGAGACATTTTGGTATTGGTATGGATGTGTGAAGAGAGTGAGGTATTTTTATTTTATTTTACTTATTGTTTAGTCCTTTGTTGGAACCTATAGCTCGATAGTCAGCCCTCTAAAAGTTCCTATGCAGGTTGCATTGATTTACTGCTTGAGATTCTACCTTTCAAGCCTTTACTGTCCACGTTGGTTTTCATATGCCTGTTATTACTTAAGATGACAAGTATGCAAAGGTGCATACTGTGCGACATAATACCCCAATGTTCATCCACAGAACAAAATGTCAGAAACAGTGCACAACCAGCTCTGCCTATTCTATGCCGGGGAAAACTGGACATGGTAAAAGCTCATCCGCCAATGCAATATTGCAAAACGGTGCACAGAAATTCCGTGTAAAATGTCAGGCAACGCCTGTCACAAAGATTGTACGATACGGGAAAACGACGATCAATGGTGAAACTGTTTGTTTTCGACACTCCTGGAAAGGCGTTTGGAGCGAGCGATTACGCGGAGGATAAAGGTAAAACAGAAAATGAAGTGAGATTTAATGACTTGAGAAGGACAATCTTATTCATTGAGACACTGCTCAGAGGTTGCCGTTCAAGGGGAGATGTTTCTGCATTTTTGATGGCATTTCCTTATCACGTACAGTTTACCAAGGAGGAGAAATCAAATGTTGACATTTACAAAAAAGTGTTGGGACAAAATTTGTTTTCGGACTATGGTATTATTTTGCTTACTTTCGGCGAAAATTTTGAAAGTGAAAATAAACACTTCCATGTTAAACTCTGGTGTGAAGCGCGGGCTGGTCCATTGAAAGATCTGTATAATGAATGCAAGCAAAGGGTTTTGGTGATGTATAATATACAACCGAAGACAAGTGTAAAGAACAACGACAGAAGGGCGTTGATGATGTCATACGCCATGCACGCCAAATAAAACAGATCGGGGGTCTTACACCTGGGAGAAATTCAAGTTGGCATCAGAGTCTCGCAGGGATATTTATCTGGAATATCAATCACTCAATTGATTCCAGGTTTTGATAAAATTTTAGAGAACCTGTGGAGCCAGCTGTTAAAGTTGCAAGGAAATGTAACCGAAATGGACGTAATGATTTGCTTATACAAATCGGAATTCTTAGGGGAAGTTTCGAAGAGAAAAAGGAAGGGAGGCCACACTTTAAAGATCTACTAAACAGTTTAAATAATTTTGAGGAATGCGTTCCAATTGTACCCAAAAAGAACTTTTTCAATTGCCCAATTCAATAATTGTTTTTACTGGTTGTTTACACAATCATGATTGTTTATAAACTAGATTCCAGTATTTTGAGCACTTCTCACGAATTCTCATTTCACCCCATTGGTTGCTTTTCTTGTTAACTGACTTTAGGGAAGTGACGTACATTATATCTATATAATTAGCGGAAAGCACGTACATAAATGAAACAATTCTGCAAAATATTTCCTGACATTCTCACAGTCTATGAATAGTTTCTTTATAGTTGTAATGATATAAAAAAAAAAATCAAGCAACGTTTGGTAAGAACAATCGTAATAACATCAGCCTTTGATTTGTAAACTAGTCTCGCTACTTTATCAGTAGAGAAACTTATTATTAGAAGCAATATTTAGTCCAACGAGATCTCGTGCGTCTCTTACGTATTTTGGTATCGCGAAATTGTCATTGGTTCAGATCTATTTATTCTGAGGCCCTTTAATTATGAAGCCACGATAGCCATATGACCAATTCAATATAACGCTGAGTTTTTTTCTTCTTCTTTACTTTACATACTGTTTTCCTTATTTGAGATGTTTTTCAATTTAAAAGGCTCATTGCAATGAATTCATTTGTGCCTTTAAAATTGGTATTGTATTCTATTTGAAAATGTCTACAATATCGCAATTTTAAATTAGCTACGCATTTTGTAACTCAAATTTACAGCTTTTAAACTATGACAATGCATGGTAATTGGTTTTGTGCATTCAAAAAATTTGTTTTCATCTTGATCCATTCCATGATTTACAAAATAATCGTCGTATTATCCATATTCTTCCCTTAAGGAAAATCATATTTTCCTCATTCATTTCCATAGATTTTAGACTGATTTTATTTTATGAAGATTTTAATGTTTCTAATAAAAAAATGTATGCATTATTGCCACTAACACCATTAATATAAAATTATTTCTCTTTTTCGCTTTTATATTTGTGTACAATCACAAATTATTACGTAGGCCTGTTAAAACAACTGCACTGGTAAAATTTACGCTACGGTAGTATAATAATAAACACAAGAATGTCAAAAAAGGTCAATATAGATATAATATTGATAGAATGATTACAACAATAAAATGAAGGTGCAATAATAAAGATATACACATTTTAAAATATATCGTGCCTCTGTTGGGATATCCATTGAAAATCAGTGTCTAAAACAAACAAACACGTCTTGTAGAGGCTTTGAAAGAAAAACATGTTGCAACTGGAGTAAGATAAATTTATTATTATTTTTAAAATTCATATTTTTCCCACTTCATAATGCTACTTCATTTTGAATTTCCAAATGAATTTTTAATTTTAAAATTAACATTATTATATTTAACTTCAAAGAAAATAGCGTTAAAAATTGTTTTAATTTACCTTTTAATTTTTGTAAGAATATTAAATATTAAGTAGGCTTGATTAATGGTCCAACAACTGATTCAACAGAATAACCACAAGAAGTTAAAAAAAAAACAAACGGATGCATTTGGTTGCATTCATAATATATTAAGTATGAAACCTTGCACTATTTGACATAATTTTACTGAAATTATATATATATATTTCTAGAAAATTGAAGGCTTGGCATTTTTAAGGAATTAATTACAATAAATAGTCCATTCCTTTTCCAGGCAGTGAACAATTTGAGTGACATAGTCCGGCTTTTCAAAAATGAACATGTAACAACTTGTTCATGCAGTAGCGTTGTCCCGAATGTTAATAATACCATTGATATTTGGATAATATGCAATGTATTTGATAACCGACATTAAGCCTAACCTTCAGTCTAATGTTATTAAAATATAATTTTTCAAAACACTACAAAACACAATTAATAATTCAATCCTATGTTGATTAAAAGAAACGACAAACCAATTAGAAAATTTGACATAACATAACATGACAAAATATATTAAAGAAATAATTTTTAAAAAATCATGTTAGCTACTCATTTCACAGTGTTCTTTTTGTGTGTGGTACAATGCGTTTCTTGACAGCTGTTACGAAGCCTTGATCCTTCATCAGAAGAACAAACGAGCAGCTAGGAGAGAGTCGTGCATGCTCCACCCATTCATCGACGTCATCAACTTCCCACTGAAGCAGTAAATCACAGCAGAAGCATTGGACAATATTGCCGTGACCTGTTTTGTTTCATACATAAATACATAAAATAATGAGTTTACTGACTGGGCAAATTAATTAATGGCATTAATATTTTAAACATTGATATATCACTTGAGTTTTTTTTTTAATATTGTTTTTAAATTTAAACAAAAAAGATAATATGTCAAAACTGTAGAATAGTGTATAGAGACTCGAATGAGAACGAGCCAGTTTTCTTTCACTATTGAAATGTTCAACTGGCATTTATAATATAAAATCTAAAATGTCGTTTTAAAAATTATATCTTTCACTGCATACGATTGACTACAGTCATTCTTAAATTCTATCCATTCTTTTAAAACAGCATGTATTGTTTTGGTTGATCATGTAAATGAAAACCACGGTTACCTATGTAAGTTCCTACCTCTGTAAATTATGTAATTCCATACCTCTGTAAATTATATAATTCCAGACCTCTGTAAATTATGTATTTCCATACCTCTGTAAATTATGTAATTCCATACCTCTGTAAATTATGTATTTCCATACCTCTGTAAATTATGTAATTCCATACCTCTGTAAATTATATAATTCCAGACCTCTGTAAATTATGTATTTCCATACCTCTGTAAATTATGTAATTCCATACCTCTGTAAATTATATAATTCCAGACCTCTGTAAATTATGTATTTCCATACCTCTGTAAATTATGTAATTCCATACCTCTGTAAATTATGTATTTCCATACCTCTGCAAATTATGTATTTCCATACCTCTGTAAATTATGTAATTCCATACCTCTGTAAATTATATAATTCCAGACCTCTGTAAATTATGTATTTCCATACCTCTGTAAATTATGTATTTCCATACCTCTGTAAATTATGTATTTCCATACCTCTGTAAATTATTTAATTCCAAACCTCTGTAAATTATGTAATTCCATACCTCTGTAAATTATGTAATTCCATACCTCTGTCAATTATGTAATTCCATACCTCTGTAAAAGAAGCCGGCAGCTGAAAGATGGCCAGGACTCAGGTGATCATCTCTTGTTCTGTCAAACGTGTTCTCCCTATTAGCTCTCAGGGCGTATTCCGGTTTCTTCACGTCCTGTGGGATGATCCCAAGCAAGGACACAGGGGTGATTAAACCGTCTACTTCTCGAACGGTCATACCAGCTGAAGCAGATGGCTCTCGTGAGGCCGCTGCCTGGTGAACGTCAGCTGCTGGTTGTTCTGGAAAGATTGGAAGTTCGTTTTTCAAAATTTACGATCATCGTACAGTTTTAAAAATAGTAACATTTTGAAAACGGAACAAGCTGGAAATACCATTCATACCAGATACGACCAAAAAAAACAAAACAACATATGCTAAAACAATTTCTCTTGATCAATTCTTTTTCCTAATATAGAATTCAAACTTTAATGATTACTTTATGGTAACAACAACACAGTAGAAGAATATTTACATTTAATTAAATGTCTCATTTAACATACTGTATGGGGATTAGCTCATAAGTAGATCTTTAACAGTTAAGATTTAGCTTTGAAGAAGCTTAAGTTAAAAAATAATCAGTAAAATAGATCATTAATAAGTCATTGAAATCCGATATGTGCCCATTTGGTGTTATCTTCATGTTTGCGGGACTTTAAAAACAATATCATATTTAATGCACGAATAACTTGCTGACGTTTTCTTTCAGATGTCAAAAGTGTAGTTTTTTGGTTTGTTTGCTGTTTTGCGTAATCTAGATTTCTTTTAGAAACAATAATCACAAATAATAATTCTCTATTTATTAGAATATGGCTGAAACGCTGTGTTCAAGACATCTTTTAAAATGCGTTACTAGAATGCAATTTTTGTCAAGTGCATTGGGTAGATGGAGCATTCAAGTATTGCCGCTACATTATCCATGGGTTATTTATGGGTTTTCAAATAATGTAATCCACTAAACTCACGTGAATAGGGTCTAACTACGGAAATATCATTCGTCATCTGCAAAGTGATCTGCATTTAAAAAAATTAAAATGCAACAAAAAATGAAAACAGAATGCATGGGTGATAAATGGTATTAAGAAAGCTACTAATATAATTAATAATTTCTTTTACGTCTTCTTGATATTTTTTGTTGTTGTAATGAGAACAAATGTAAATATCTATCAAATATAAGCCGTGAATTTAGGTTGTTCTAAACTTAAGATCTGTCGAAATTTCACAAAGAAAGTATGTAGCACTTTGAAGAATGGAAAACAAAATATCAATGTCAGTTATGTATTGGAGGGAAAACAATATTAACAATAAAAGGAATGATCACTTGGAAAAAATTAAAGTTTAAAAAGAAAAAAAGAAAGAAAAACGCAACCACACTAGTACTAATAAACTAGTAAACTAGTACTTGTAAACTTCTACTTATTACGAAATACCTGTGTTGCCAGGCTGCTTAATTCCTGGATATTATCTATAAAGGTTTGTCCCTTCTCTTTTATAATGAAGCCGCACAATGGAAAATATTTGGCATGCTCTATCCATGGATTGTCTTGGGATGACCAGTTCCGAAGTCCTCCCCCACAGTAGAAACAGCGAACGGAATCCGAATAACCTGTGTGAATATCATATCTTCATTTATCCTTCAAACGCGAATTTGGAGTTAAAAAAAACTATCAACTATTCCGGTAACGTCAATAATGTTCTTTAGGTTTTCACTTCTTTCATTAAAAAAATAAAGAGTTATCTCCTTAATGATAAATCTTATATATATGCAGAGAGATAAAAAAATGTATGGGTCTGTCTGTTTATGTGTCTGTTTCTCATACGTTTCACATGTATTAAATGGATATTGACAAATGTTTGACCACATTTCCTTAAGTAAACAGAATGAAATAAAGCGTTTCTTTAAATCTTTACTAAATAATCCTTTTGGGGCCGGGGGCCCCTAATGCAATTTTCCATTTATATGAGCTATAAAATAAAAATCAAACATAGGCTATTGTATGTGTGGATGTATTTAGAACAAACTTAGAAAACATAAACTTGATTATCCATGTTCATATACTCAATTTTACCGATACCCCCTCCTTAGGGGTTGGGGGTCCCATTTTATGCTTTCTTAATGAGCTATACAGATACCAGTAGACTTGGCCAACGCTATAACGATATAGGTCAGTACAAAAGTTATTATGAACTTTTTTTTTTTTTGTGAGAGAAAATTAATTTTTATATTTGTTTCCCTTTAGCGACGTATTTTTTACAGGACCCTTAATTTCAATGTTAGCTAAAATACTGTAGAAGTGTTTTTTCCCATTGCATCCAGGGTAACGCCGGGTACGTTGGCTAGTAAAGTATATATTGCCGAATCAAATCTAATTTACCTGCATAAATTAAACCCGCCTCGGCGAGGTCTTCGGGTTTCTGAGGATGGTTCTCAGCCCAGCCACGAAAGGTAACCAACCTCTTATTTTGATCAGCGTACTTTGGGCGCTTGGCTCCTGTGACGTAGGCACGTGCAATTTTTGTTGCGCTGGTCTCATCTTGTCGTTCATCTCGAACATCAGCAGAGGTGTCAAAGTAATGCTTGAACTGAAGATTTTCCTTCAAACATAACGACCTCAGTGGGACGTTTTCACATCCGATCTTTGTTACCATGGGACAAACAGGAGAATGAAAGTCAGTAACCTTATCCGAGGCTTCCCAGCATCTTCTCTGGAAATGACAAAAATAGCAGACGACATTATCATCTGCTTTGTCGACAGGCTTGTGCATGAACCCGTTTTCAGCCAAAATTAAGGGAGATTTTTTGGCGTGAGGTGGGTACTTTGTAAATGTTGCAGCTCTTCGAATTTCATGTTTAAAAAAGTTTGGATATTTACCTGCACATTTATACATTTCTTTATTATTTTGATAATAGAACATATCTCCCTTGTTTTATGGAAATAATTGTCGATTTCTTCAAGAACGTCTTAGAGCCTTAGGTGTTTACACAAAAAGTAAAATAACTATGCTTACAACGAAAAAAAAATTAATTCCAAATTATGTTCCACTTCAAAGAGAATACATAAAACACAAGGTGGAACTTTTTTTAATAATCGTCTCAGCTTCCTATAAAGGAATACATATCAGCCGGCCCGAACAGTTTGTAACCTGTGATGCGGATGAATCTGAGTGAGCTCAAGTGGTTAGGACTATCAGTCAGATTTGCACTGGAAATAGCACGAGATGACAGCTTCCGTTGAGCGACTGGCAATATCATCATCCGTAGAGATTTCATGCTTTCGAAACTGACGGTGACCAGATTCCAAAATTCAGATTGGCTAAATTTTGCATAAAAGAAAAGGAAAATAAACCAATATTAGCAGAATGAAACAATTCATTCGTATTCACCACACCATGGATGATTACAGATGAAAATAAAATAGGAAATAAACTCGATTTGTAGGGATACTCTATAGACTTGACACTGCATCCCTCGCGCCATAGATTCTATACCCCTGACACAGCAATTCTCACCCATAACACTGCCTTTAATACACAAAACACTGCCTTCCACACCACTAACATTGCCTTCCACACCCCTAACACTGCCTTTCACACCCCCTAACACTACCTTCAACACCCCTGACACTGCCATCCACACCCTTGACACTGCCTTCCACACCCCTAACACTGCCTTCAACACCCCTGACACAGCCATCTACACCCCTAACATTGTCTTCAACACCCCTAACATTGACTCCCACACCCCTAACATTGCCTCCCACACCCCTAACACTGCCTTCCACACCCCTGACACAGCCATCCACACCCCTAACATTGTCTTCAACACCCCTAACATTGCCTCCCACACCCCTAACATTGTCTTCAACACCCCTAACATTGCCTCCCACACCCCTAACACTGCCTTCAACACTCCTGACACTGCCATCCACACCCCTGACACTGCCATCCACACCCCTAGCATTGCCTTCACCACCCCTAACATTGCCTCCCACACCCCTAACACTGCCTTCCACACCCCTAGCATTGCCTTCACCACCCCTAACATTGCCTCCCACACCCTTAACACTGCCTTCCACACCCCTAACATTGCCTTCCACACCCCTAACACTGCCTTCCACACCCCTAACACTGTCTTCAACACCCCTAACACTGCCTTCCACACCCCTAACTCTGCATTCAACACCCCAACACTGCCTTTTACACTCCTGATTCTGACTCCCCCCCCCTCTAAAACTTCCTCCTTCACACCTAGCTCTGCCTCCTACGCCCCTGCAACTGTCTACCCCACCCCTAACTCTGTCTCCTCTACACCTAACACTGTCTCCTACACCCTTGAAACTGTATTTCCCCACCCCTAACTCTGTCTCATCTACACCTAACACTGTCTCTGCACCCCTGAAACTGTATTTCCCCACCCCTAACTCGTTCTCCTCTACACCTAACATTGTCTCCTACACCCCTGAAACTGTCTCCCCCACACTTAACACTGCTCCCACACCGCTGACACTGCCTCTGACACCCCATGTCAAGAGATGTTGCCTGTGAGCATCGGCTATGGCCAGGGTACAGTGTAAATTATGTCTTGAAAATTTTAAATTTAGGGTCTATGAAGAGTTTAATTTGTCATTATGAACAATAAACAGGTCATTCAATACTAATTTGACTAGAGGTCTAATTTTTACTTACATAAAAAAGAGATTTGTATGTTTTTCAGTATTGCCCTTACAGACCTATCTTATTAAAAACATAAGTTGATTTGCTCAGATCTCGTATTCCCGATTTTCATATGAGCGGTAAAACCCAACATCATAATTAACTTTCCAAAACAAAAATAGACTAATCCAGTACCGCTTATTTTAGAAACTAGACTAAAAAGTTTATGAAGCTCTTGAAGAATATTTTTTTTTAAAGAATGCTATGCATTGTGATGGTGATTGTTTTCTATTTTGTCTATTATAAAGCATTGTTAAGATCTTCTTTTAAGAAAAACCACTCAACTTTATTTCTTTGCACCAACAGCAAAGTTCACAATTAGCGTGTACGGCGAACAAGGTGTACATAGTCGATTTTTAAAGATGAACTATATCATTTACACATGTTGAGCCCCTCAACCTTCCTTTTGCACGTTTCTAGTCTCAAGTTGGCTTTCGTCAGCCTCGGTTAAAGTAATGATCAAGAAATGATATAAATAATAATAACACGCGCACTTGGCTATTCGGGGATTTGGTATCAGGCACAAAAACACCTCTGACCCAATAAAGGGTCTGGCTGGCTGACAGACAACAATCAGCCATTTCTATCTGGAGTCCTGCCAAACCCCATACAATTTATTCACGGGCTGCCAAACATATGGGTTGCCTCAGCGAACGGGGCAGTGAAGGTTCTCCATGGTGGCTTTGCCGGCTGAAACAGTTGACAATTTTTATGGAAGAATGATTTTGAAAAATATTATTTCTTAAAATTGTAATCTTATCACACTACTCCCATCAGCGACGAACCTCAACTAAATTCCGTCCGGGGTGAACTAAAAATAATTGCGCGCATAAGCGTCAATTTTAAAAACGCCGATTTTCTGAATCTTAGGTTAGCCGAACCTCTTCTGTCTTTTATAATTATTATTAGTCTTGTTATCATCATACGCAATGTCCCAGACATAGAACATTTGCGAACCAAAACCCGAAAACGATGCTGGCCCCATCCTCACAGTACATACAGTGGTCTTTTAAGATTATGTAATTATTGTTCCTAGTAAAGAATTTTCTTCGAAGTGTTCGTCTATCCGAAATTGGTCCCATTTAGTACGGAAGATCGACTCTCTACTCTGTGTGCAGTCTGGCATTGCTGCTGATAATGAGAATTCAATCTTTTGCAGTCCTTCTTTTGTTATCATACACCGTGGGTGAGACTGGTCATCAGTAATAAGTTTAATGATTCATTTAAAGCACAAACACACAAAACACAGTATCCGAGAGATCAAGTAATGATTTTTATCCTCTCAAATAACAGCTTTAACAGCTAAATAAATAGTAAAACATTTGCCAACAATGCTGAAGTCAAAAAGTACAGTTTGAACATTTGCATTAAATGCTTTGTAATTTCAAAAAGCAAAATTTCAACCATTGCATTAAATGCTTTGTAATTTCAAAAAGCAAAATTTCAACCATTGCATTAAATGCTTTGTAATTTCAAAAAGCAAAATTTCAACCATTGCATTTAATATGTCATAAATTAAAGAAATTATATATTGAGCTACATTATACTCCACATTTTCATTGTGTATTTTTCAACCGTTTTTGTATGTATTGGGGTCACGGGTCACTTTGCTTCTTTATAATGGTTTCACATCCACGTTATTTATCTTAAAATGGGTTAAAGTTGTTAATAAGAAATGTTAGGAAGATATTGTCTATTATCTGGAATAACATTTCAAAGATCAGATCAAAATCGTAAAGGAACACTTCCTTGTTAAAGCTAGTTCATAGCGGCTTAGTTATCTACAGGTATCACATAAACATATACATAGCAATATGACAGTTTAAACAGGAGCTTTAATCTGAAATCAGCACTACATATTTATTGCTCGGAACGAAGGGGTCCCTAAACCCTTTTTTTGAGTGTTCCTCTCTAGGGGGTGTTAAAATTTTTGTAAAAAACATTATAGTGAAATAATGTTTCAGAGTGTTATTATAATCTTCTAAAGAATTAATTTGGAACAATCACTAAGCTGTAACGGGTAATAATTTTTGGATTTTTAAAAATTAATTATTTATTCTCACGGCATCACGTCAGGCCATACACCTCTTGTCACGTCAACCTAAACAACTCTTGTCACGTCAACCTATACACCTCTTGACACGTCAAGCTATAAAACTCTTTTTGAAAAAAAAAATAGCATGTTCTAGGTATGATTTTAATTCAGCCCCATTCTAAAACTATAAAGCGCTTATTACAAAACTATTAATGAATTTCAAACATTTCCCTTGAGTTACTCTCCACCATTGTCCCAACTACCCAACCTCATAATTCTAAAAGATCATGTTATGGCACTGAAGTAACTCGAGGTTGTCTTTAACGAAAAAGACGATGCATTAAACATACACATGGAAAAGCAAAGGGAAGTATAAAAAAAGAAATGAAACAAAAATACCGCCCCCAAAATAAGTGCACCATGGGGCGGATCAGCCCTTCCATCTATTTTGTCGCTGCGCTCATGGCTGGGGGAGGCTTTCCACAACCTCCCATTTTTAGAAGCCCTGATAGGTTTTACTATCAAGTGATGTAAGCAAAACATTTAGAGGCACGTGACTTGGTTTCTGGTCCATATTTATAGAATGGAAGTAGTATATTAACAAACAATTGTAAAACAATCGTATCCTTTAATTAAACATCATTCTGAAATAGACATTGTATTTCAATATTAGGAGAAAAAAAAAAGAGCAAGATATTTTGCGTGGTTCAAATGTTTAAACGGATATATTGTTATCTTGACGTGTCCACATGTGAAGCTATTGAATACAACCAGATCCAACCAGCTTTTCTCTCGAGGAGTTATCGCTTTATACGCCTTGGAGTTACGCCATAAATTTTAAGTTCGGATTACGTAAAGCTATGTCTAATCATTTCTGAAAAACCCATTTTCATTTTTTTTTTAGGTTGCCTTCATGATATAACCTAGAAGCAAATTGTCTTAGTTCACATATTTTCTTGTTTCCGTAAGTTTATATTCTTACTTCTTTAGCTTTGATTACTAATAATTTTGATGAATTCTATTGTTTCTGAAACATATAGTAACTCTTACGGAATAATATTAGTTGTTTTTTAAACCGTTCTTCAGTTTTAGAAAATGTTTATTTGTGACGAAGGACATGTCACTTTTGCACTTCTTTGACTTTAAATGAAATAATACCATATGCCAACTAACGAATAAACGTAATCATTAAAGATCTTACAGTTGCTTTAAACTCAGTTCGCAATACACTTACTATGAAACGTCTTAATCGTAATTTGGATATTAAACATGCTGTATATTTGAGCGCACTGAATATTTCTAATCCACAGAATAAACAGCGGAATTCTTTTGATACCTGGTTTGTCAAACTACCGGACAGACGCATTGTATTGGCCAAATACTCGGTCGTCAGAGTGTATACAGTTGTAAAATACCGGACAGACACATTATATGAATCCTTTGGTCATAATAGTACATAGAGACAGAATAAATCACAAATTAGACAATAATCACACTTGGATTACATTGCTAAAATATTGTTGTTGTTTTTTCATTCACGTATTCATTTATAATTGTGAAACGTGAAAGAATTTATTTCGAAATCTTATAGAATTTTCTTCTTGGACTCTTCATTAAATGAAAATGATTTTTTTTTCAAATGTCAAGTTCCCACTGTCTTTTGGCGACACAGAAGTGATCGGGAAGATGGCGACAAGAACAGAAAATAAATTTGAGAGGTTTATAAGAAATAAAGCTAACAGATTAACTCTAAGACTTTTGGGGAAGGGTGTGAGCAACAGAAACTCCAACAGGAAACTGGCCAGCAACCCCCACGTCAACAGAGTGTCCAACACGAACCCCGACCAGAGGGATGCTGAGGTAGTTTCTGGACCTGTTGTTGACGATCCTGCAAGCGACATCCTTTCTTAAAGTAAGCATGAACTATACTAGCCATAACTGTTTAATTTTTGATGCAGCAGAGGAGGGTAGCTTGTCCGTAGATAAAAAGAACGATGCAATTATTGTTTTATTTCATTCATTAACATTCTTCTATCACCTTCATAAAGGCTTTCATCCGTTGTTTTCTTGTTGATATGCAACGTTCTATTTTTAGAGGCCCCCACCCAAAAAAGGGGGGCGGGGTTAAAAATAAAATACATTTATAGTTTTATCAGACGGTTAAATTCTAGGATAAAAAATAATTGATAATCAATTTTTTAAATTTTTTTACCGGGTATTCTTAAAAAAAGTATGTGATATCATTTGCTGAGCTTACCGTTGGTATATAATGTCATGTTCATGTCACAAGTATACAAACAGCATGGTATTGGTACTTGACCCTTCTTAAGTGCTTTGTTAAAAATTCTAAACCAATTTAATATACTTTAAATGTGGCATGGACAGAGCGGTATTAACCTTCAGATCAAATAACCAGTGTTCTCTTTTCTACACTTTTCATGCCCCCCCCCCCGGTCTCCCTAAAATAATGTTTTGACTACGTCTCGTAACATAACAAAACAACACATTTTTAAAAATTACAAAAAAAAAAAATGAAATTCTTATTGTAAAAAAAAAAAGAAATTTAAAAAAATCACAGTTAGATAATAAACTGTATAATTTTTTTATTTTTTTTTTACAGCAAGCCTGAAATGTCATCGAAGAATTTAAATATTTGATCTACTCACATACAATTTTTAAAAAAGGCTTCTATTTTCATACTTTTTCTTCTTTTTTTCTTTCTTCGCACTACCCGAAATGCTACTTAGCACTAGCTACATGTGCGAGCGAACGAGGCTGGGAACCTCAAAAGTAAGTTAAGTAGGCTGTAGCCTTGACGAGCCATATCTAAATGAGGGTACACGGGGTCCGTGGACCGGGTCCGTTGTATTTGGCGAAAAGATCGACTGTAATTAAAAACAATAAGGATATATACACTTTATATGATTATTTTCATGCTTAGGCTCAGTTCACACGATCGAATTCCTTTCAAATTTTCTTTCATGCATTTGATGCGACTTTTATATTATGAAGCCTTGTCACAACTTTCA